TTTTTCTCTCTGGGAGCTGATAAAAAACAAGGTCGGTTGACCTTCAATAATTCTATCTGCCAGTCAGTGCCTGTTCCTAAGACTCCAGTGTCAAGGCATGTCTTTGGAGCCTCCTGATAGGAGGGCCACAGAGCTGGGAAAAGTACAGGTTTCCTGTTGAAACCGAGAGCTCAGAGGGCAAACGACTGGTACAGCAAATAGGAGATGTGTTTACTCATGAAGAGGGGAGAAATGAGGCAATGAAGTTGCTATACTTCAAATGATAGTGGTCAAGTTTTTGGACATGAACTATTTGGAACATAGCCTCAATTCTCCATTTTGCCTGAGTGCTAACAAATATATGCACAAATCTATGTATGTATACATGTATGTGTGTGTATATACATGTATATATATGTGTACATGTATGTATATATCAGGTAATAAGTTTTTTTTTTTACTTCTTTTCTATGGAGGATAATCATATGCACCTACTTCATAGGGCAGTTGTAAGGATTAAATGAGATAATTTATGTAAAGTACTTTGTAAACCTTAAAGTGCTACATAAATGCCAGCTATTATTATTATTATTATTATTATTTTTTTTTTTTAGAAGTAGTAGTAGTAGTGATGTAGTGGTAGTGGTGGTGGTGGTGGTAGTAGCAGTAGTAGTAGTAGTAGTAGTGATGGTAGTAGTGTTGGTGGTGGTGGTGGAGGTAGTAGTAGTCATAGTAGTAGTAGTAGTAGTAGTAGCATTTAAGTTGGTCAATCAATAAACATTTATTATGTGCCTACTATGTGCTAGGCACTGTGCTAAGCGGACACAAAGAAATGCAAAAGACAGTCCCTGCCCTCAGAGAGGTCACAATCAAATAGGGGAAGATAACATATAAAAAAGATGAAAGTGGGGGGAAATACCTGGCCTAGGGGCATGATGAAGTGCAGAGAAGGGTAGACAGCTTCCTTGGGACACCTTCCTTAAATGGAAGATCTGGGAGGAGAGCTCCCCTGGAAAAAAGAAATGGTAATATCTTTGGTGGGGAGAGAGAAATCATTCAGTTTCTTGGTTCTCCCAGCGTTGTTTCTTCTTTCAGGGCAGGGACAATCTTACTTTTATATTTGCAACCTCAGCTCCTAGAACAGTGCCTGACACATAGTAGGGCTTAATGAATGCTTGCCAATTAGGAAAATTGCTCATAAATCTCTTAGAATATTTCTATCACAAAATTGTCTTTTTTGTACTTAGGTTATGGAGTATTGGGGCAGCTAGGTGGAGCGGTGGATAGAGTACCCAACCTGGAGTTCAAATCTGGCCTCAGCCACTTACTAGCTGTGTGACCCTGGGCAAGTCACTTAATTCTGTTTGCCTCAGTTTCCTCATCTGTTAAATGAGCTGGAGAAGGAAATGGCAAACCACTCCAGTATCTTCGCCAAGAAAACCCCCAATGGGGTCACGAAGAGTCAGACACAACTGTAAAATGACTTAAGAACAACACCTGTGTGCCAGGCGGGCTAAGCACTTTACAAATACCATCTCATTTGATCCTCACATCAACCTCTGGAGGCAGATGCTGTTATTATCCCCATTTTACAATTGAGGAAACTGAGGTTAGTGACTTGCTAGGGGTCATACAGCTAGTAAGTGTCTGAGGCTGGATTTGAATTCTGGTCTTCCTGACTCCAGGCCTAGTACTCTATTTGCTGTGCCACCTAGCTGCCTCATTAGCACTGTGTGATAACCTACCCGCTGAGTGTCAGACCTTAGGGTCTCACTTAGGGTTCAACTGGTCTACTGACTACATAAGAGCACCATGTATGTGAATGGGGTGGGGAGTAGCAATGAAGAAAAGTGAATATTGGCATCCTGTCAACAAGGTCTTCTGGACTGTCCCGAATAGAATTCTTGGCTCTAGCAACATGTTCTCTGGAATTTGCCATGTTCTTCCAAGGCAGCCTCCACAAATCCATTAGTGAGATGGCTGGGGCAGTGATGGTCATTAGGTTGTGCTTTCAAGTGCAGCTAACCTATAAAACAAAACGCAGACAAAAAACAAAAACTGTGTAATATTTCTTTTCAGCATTTCCAGCCAGATTTCTTCTTAATTTGGATTCAGAAAATTCTTATCCCTCCCCCTTCCTTGTTTTTCTTTTCCTTTCTACTTGGTTTCTTAAAAACTCTTTGATATTAATAATAGTAGAAATGCTATTTGAATAAATGTCAAACCTCCCAAATACAGCTAGGTCTTTAGTGTTTGACTTTAAAGATAAATCCCCAAAGTGCCAGGTCCAATTCTCTAAATCATACCAGCCAAAGGCTCCTTCCGTAGAGCTTTCTTCTCAAAATGCATGGGACCTAATTAAAAAAAGGTACTTAAATGAAAAAGAGAAGTGTCATGGAGCAATGGATGGAGATGGCCTCAGAGACTCGAAGACATATTGACTTTGGGACCCAGGACAATTATTTTTAGCTCCTCAGTGCTCTGGGTAATTCTCGACTGCTAAGAAGGTGAGGAATCCTCCATCAGGAGAATCCTTCTAGAACAATACTGTGGTGATATCTCACCTAATTTTGAACCCTCTAGACCAGGAATTCTTAAAGGGGTGTGTGTGTGTGTGTGTGTATGTATGTATGTGTGAGAGAGAGAGAGAGATGGATCTCTTTGGCAGTCTGGTGCAGCCTATGGACTCTTCAGAGTAAGGTTTTTAAATGCATAAAATAAAATACATAGGATTACAAAGGAAAACAATTTTTTTTAAAAGAAAGTGTGTCAGGATCCTTGCAATATTTCAGGTATCAGTCATTATGGCTTAAAAATCCATCACTAGGGGGCCAACCTCAGAGAATTTAGCTAATGGGCCCTCAGATGAGAATGACACAGTTTGTTGCTAGGCCCATACTTGTACCACTTCTGCCTTTAGGGGACTTGCAAAAGCTGGTGGGTAGTTCCTTGTCATTGTCTTTGAGAAACCAGCGTCATCTGTGGGTGGTGATCAGGCCTGAGGGGAGAGCTTTTGTAGGGGATCCTGACCAGTAAGGGATTCCTGAGTCCACTTTCACACACTCTCTACCAAAGATCTGCTCAGATGCTTCACTGTGGTGTGGAGGGGACCAAAGACTGCCTATGCCTGAGCAGATGCTACCATTTAAGAAAGATCTTGAATGGGAGCTCAAAAGACTTCTCCCAGAGAGGGGGTGGATTTAAAATGTGTTGTTGTTGTTCGGTCCTATCTGACTCTTGGTGACCCCATTGGGGGTTTTCTTGGCAAAGATACTGGAGTGGTTTGCCATTTCCTTCTCTAGCTCATTTTACAGATGAGAAAACTGAGGTAAATAGAGTGAAGTGACTCGCCCAGGGTCACACAGCTAGGAAGTGTCTGAGGCTGGATTTGAACTCACAGAAAGGAGCCTTCCTGACTTCAGGCCTGGTACTCTATCCACTGTGCCACTGAGTGCCCCATTTAAAACATAAAATAAGCCATGTCTCTTTGGACTTGGTTAACATGGAAATCTGTTTTGGCAGATTATGCATATGTATGATGAGTTTGACTTTTCCTTCTTTTAACTGTGCAGTTGCGGGGAGGGGCACAGTGGGAAGGAGCTATATTAGTTGCTTGTGAAAAAAATAGATAATACTTTTAAGAACTGGAGACTGTCTGCCTCTTGTGTCTGAGGAGTAACCCAGCTAAATTTGGAGAGCCTGTCTCAGGCTGGAGGTAGACTGAAGCATTTTTTGGCCTTTGAAACTCTCAAAGCTCACTTACTAAGTCTCAGAGAGGGGTGCAATCTGTCCAGAGAGGAATGCTGATGAACCTACAAATGCTGGACATTGTCAGTAACATTTTGCATATGTATTGGCACCTCCTCCCCAACTATCTTTATATTTGCCATATTTTCTAAATAGACAAATTATTTTCCGTTTGAGAAAACAGAGGCTCTGACAGCTAAAATAATTTGCAGTCTAGGCAGGACTTTGCTTTGATCAAGATTCTTGACTTTCAGCCCAGGGCCCAAATCCAGACAATTCTCACTCTTTTACCAAGCCGAAGCAGCAGCAGCAGCAGCGGACAAAACCAGCCTTTAAGAGGGGGACTCTCCCAGCATCTTCTAGGTCTTTTATTTCGTCTTTTTCACTTGGCAAGCAAAGAGGGGACACTGAGCCCATCCCTCCCCACCCCCACTCTATCTCCAGTAGAATCATCAGTCAGGCTGCATGTGAAGTCTCTTTCTTTCTTCTCCTCCTTCCACACCCCAGAGGGGAAATATTGCTGCTCTCTCTAGAATAAAATGCGGGCACTGTTTGGCAGACAAAGAACAATGGCTCCCCGAGTTGGGGCTCCTAAGGTCAGCTGTCATTCTTGTCTCCCGGGTTTAAGGTCCTCCTAATCACTTCCTTCTGCAGCAGATTTAGTCTGGGGGCTTGATAAGGGGGAATAGCTATTCTTGGGTCTGGTCTGGGACCCCTCGGCTGATTCAGGAGTTGTTGGGGGTCACTTCCCCCCACTCTCCCCCTTGGAGGTCAAAGGAGTTTGTGGCTTTCTTCCTTACCTGCTCTGACTGCCTTGGCACGTGTTTGGTTTGGGGGTTGGGTGGGTGGGTGAGGGGATTGGGCAGAAGGAGACGTTCTGAAATCAGCCTTGCGCTGCGCGTGTGTGCACGCGTCCATACGGGTGTACAAGGGTGTGCATGCATGTGCATGCGTGTGCGCGCGTGCAGGCACGTGTGCGTCTGCTACCCCGGCCCTGCACCTGGGGGGGCGGGACGGGCTGGCCCAGGGAGCCCCCCCCCCCCCAGCTCCCCTCACCAGCTCTTCTCCCCAGCCTCTGGCTGCTTGCCCGCCTCCAGCACCGAAGAATGTCTCCAAGTGTTGAGAGCCGGTTACCATGGGAACCAGCAGCCGTTCGAGTTAATCATTTCCTGTGGAAAGTGTAAGGGGGGGGGGAGGTCAGAGACGACAGTGTGACATTCCTGCTTCATACCAGGCGGCCGGGCAGCCGCGAGGATGCCGGAGCAGGCAATGCCTTGTAGCTCCTCCCCCGGCGGCAGGGGAGCTGCCACCCCGGAGGGACCCCGACCTGGGCAGCGGGGACCAGGTGAGTCACTGGCCCTGATGCTCCCACCTTTGGGGGGTGGGGAGTGGGAAGTGGGGGCCCCCCAGCTCCATCTGGACGCCCACCTTCAGGGTTTTCCAGTCTCCAGTCCAGCTCCAGTTTAGCTTTGTCTTTCTACCCCAGAGGGGCTGCGCTTGGGGATCCTTCTGCGGCTAGTTGCCTTTCCCAGCTTTGCATCCCCAGGACACCCCGCTCCGGCTGCCGGGGATCCCCCGAGGGGAACCCGGTCCCCTCAAACCTGGGCACTGGAGGTGCTGCAGCGGCCCGGAGAGTGGAGGGGTTGCTGGGGGTGCGGGGAAGGCGGAATGCGCTTTGAAAAGGACCCCAAGATAAGTCCCCTTTACCCCACCCCCCAGGATTTTCATCCCTGCAGGCTTAGGGCTGCAGTTGGGAAGAGAGGGGCGGGGCTAATTTATGCTTTAAAGCCTTCTCTACGGAGATTTCAGCTGTTTAAATTCCCTTACCGGATTGAGCCTGGGCGGGCTAGCCTGGTCTCTGTGGGTACCTTGAGGGTGGGGAGAGGTGGGGGGTCGATAACCGAGACCCCTCCTGGGTGATCTGAGTGGAGGAGCGAGACAGTCTCTCTCTGGGTGGTGGGGGCTGCCCGTCTCAAGATGAGGCTCTTATGGACATTGAGAAATACTGTTGCTGAGCTGGGGGGCTCAGCATTTCTCGCCTGCCTGTCAGTTCCGGGGACACGCTTAAGAGGGTCCTGGGCAGACGACACGTATTTCGGTTTCCTTGGACAGCTACCAGAACAGAGGCTGGTCATTAAAGGTCTAAATGGAAGAGGAACGAGCAAAGGGCCTTCTGTGAGGGTGTTTTCAAATGAGGGGATCTGTCCATTTGGAATCTGTGCTCCAAGATGTCTTCGGATTGGGGGTATCATTTGTCTCCAGTCTTTTCAGTGCTTTGTAAGGGAAGGGCTCTCCTGCATTTTCTCCACAATATCTTCATCCCCTCCTTTCCACTCCCCCAGCAACCACTCCAGTTTAGGCCTCTATTTCTTCTGTCCTAAACTATTATAATATTTTCCTAACTGATTCCCCTTCTTCTAGTCTTCTCCAAACTGTTCTACTGGTCCCACTGCCCACCTAATGCTATTACATGTGCCTTTGCCCATAGCAATTTCTCTACTCAAAAAAACTTCAGTGGCTATCAGAGTATAAATTGCTTATCTTGGCATTCAAGGTCTTCATAATCTGGCTCCAGCCTCCCCTTCCAGCATTATCTTAAATGAATGTTGATTGATTGATAGATCTTTATACCCCATTCATAATACTGTGTTCCAGTCGAATTGAATTTCTCTAGGTCTCTTTATAAATCCTGCCCCCTCCTATTTCCTTTGCTTTCACCATCCCCTATATCTGCACTCTTCTCCTCTCATGTCCATCTTTTGAATTTCATTTCTTTCTTCAAGGACCTGCCCTGTGTCACCTCTTCCAAGAAGCCTTCCTTACCTGACCTCAACCAGGTTGAAGGAACCTCAGAGGAGTTCACCAAGTACCTGAGAATCCTTGCTGCAGCAAAAGGTCTTCCATGGCTTTAAGGCCCAAAGAGTTCTATCTAGGGAGAACCTATTCCAATCGGACCCAGCCCATCCCATTCTTGGATAACCCTAACTAGGAAGTTTTGTCTTTATATAAAACCTAAATCTGCCTCTTTCCACACTCATGCCACAATTTTTGCCCTCTGGAGCCAAGTAGACCAAGTTGAATCTTTCTTTCCAAATACTTGAAAAACAGCTACTGCTTTGCCACTGAATCTTCCCCTTCTCCAACCTAAACACCCCCAGTTCCTATGAGATATATTCAAGGCCCTCTCTGAATGCCTTCCTGATTACCAATGTCCTTACCAAAATCTGGCACCCAAAACTAAACTTAATGCCACAAATGTGGTCTAGCCAGAACAAAGTACTTAGCTTACTGTTCTTTAGTCAGAGCTTTTCACTTATGCCTATTTTCTCTTCCTTAGCCTGTAACCTCAGAAGCAGGTTCCATATTTTGTCCATCTTTGTGTTTCTGGTATCTAGCATGCTGAATAATAATATAATAATAATAATAATTAATAACTCACATTTATATAGTTCAAGGTTTTGCAAAATGCTGTACATGTTATCTCGTTGTGAGGTAGATGCTATTATTGTAATACATTTTACAGATGAGGAAACTGAGGCACAAAAAGTGACTTGCCCAGGGTCACACATCTATATGTTAGGTATTTAATTTGTAGAATTGTTTGCCAAGAGTATTTTTCTAACACTCCTCTAGACCTTTTCCTAGACCAGGACAGACAGAGTCTGCATATTTCATAGTCCATATTTCAGATCCGGGTTTCCAAAGACTGCAGCATTAGACCAAAGTACATTCTCCACCCTCCCCCAACCCTTCCCCGAGGGCCCAGCTTATCAACACCTTAAGCCCAGGGAGTGAGTACTCCTGCAACCTGCCAGGCTGTAGCTGGTCTTTTGTTGTGTGCTTGAAATAGGCCAGGCCAGTGTCCTCTGAGGCCAATTGGAAACAAGGCAGTGGGTTGGCTCTATGGCTTGGCCACCCTATCCTGACCTCCACAGTGCCACACCCTCATACTGAACATGGAGTGATTGCTGCCTTGGGCTGCCTCTGATAAGGAATCTCTGTAGTCCCTTCTTCTCCAACCAGACTCTTGGGATCCAACCAGACACTTGGGATCCTCCTGGGTTTAGGGGAACATTCACACCCATGCTGGTTAGGTTCTTAGCCGATTACTTGTCTTAGACTGAAGGCTGGTCCAGATCATTGTTAAGCCAAAAAGGTCTAGGGAGGTTGTTGGGTAGAAGGCAGTCTTGTGTTCTTGGCTCAAAACTTTGAAGTTATTCTAGATTCCTTGAGGCTCTTAACCTCTGACATCCAGCCATTGCTAAATTTTGCTGTTCCTTCCTGTCCAGTATCGCTCAGGGCCACCACTTCCTCTCCGTGCCTTCCTTCCCGGAGGTTTTCCAGACTCAGGCTTGGGCAGTTTTTCTCCACCCTCTGACTACAGCCTTCTCCTCTTCTTCCCTCGGGCAGACCACCAGTCATCTGCCCCCAAGCACTGGAATCAAGCGGTCCTGTTGGAACCTCTGACTGGCTGAAGTATTTGCAGGCAGGTGCCCAGCCATGACCTCCAAAAGCCCCTCTCCTCAACTCATCTTGATCTTCAGCCAATAATAATTAGGGTAACTCGAACCTCTACATTACTTTAAGCATTTCAGTGTCCCTGTGAAAGCTAGGCTGTGCAATCTTAGCCCCATTTTACTGATGAGAAAACCGAGGATCAGGTAATAATCATGACAACTAGCATTTCATGGGTCCCTTTAAGGTCTGCAAACCGCTTCCCATGTGTTCTCTCATTCAGTCCTGGCAAGAACTGTGTGAGGTTGGTACTGTTATTGTCATCCTCCTTTTACAGATGAGGAAACTGAGGCCCAGTTGAGTGACTTGCCCAGAGCCACACAGCCAGGCTGTGTCTTTGAGTCAGGATTAGAACTCAAGGTTTCCTGTCTTTAAATTCTGTCCCATTTTGGGTGAATTGACTTACCCCTCGGCATATAGCTAGGAAAAGTAGAATTGGAACTCAGACCCTGGTTCTTCAGCTCT